GGCTGGTGGGCCGGGGGTGCTGGTGGGGTCTGGGGGCTGGTGGGCTGGGGGTGCTGGTGGGCCCTGGGGTACTAGCAGGTAGAGTCTGGCGGGGCCCAGGAGCCATGCCCACGTGCCGTGTTCCCACAGAGCGGACCCGCTCCAAGCCCGTGCTCACAGGCACGCACCCCGTGAATACGACGGTGGACTTCGGGGGGACTACGTCCTTCCAGTGCAAGGTGCGCAGCGACGTGAAGCCGGTGATCCAGTGGCTGAAGCGTGTGGAGTACGGTGCCGAGGGCCGCCACAACTCCACCATTGATGTGGGTGGCCAGAAGTTCGTGGTGCTGCCCACAGGCGACGTGTGGTCGCGGCCCGATGGCTCCTACCTCAATAAACTGCTCATCACCCGCGCCCGCCAGGACGATGCGGGCATGTACATCTGCCTGGGCGCCAACACCATGGGCTACAGCTTCCGCAGCGCCTTCCTCACTGTGCTGCCAGGTGCGCGGCCGCCACGCCACGCCATGCTGGTGCCCGAACCTGCCCCCTGGGCCCCGCATCCCACCCACCGGCCGGGACCCCACCCTTCCCTCCTGGGCTCTACAGGCCAGGTCATCTGCCAAGGGAGGGCAGCCCAGGGGTGCCGTCTCCACAGCCCCCGGGATGGGTCTGGGGTACTCTCCTGGTCTTTGTGCCGGCGTTCCCCTCGCCACCTCCTTTCCTCTCACTCTTGCAGACCCAAAACCACCAGGGCCACCTGTGGCCTCCTCGTCCTCGGCCACTAGCCTGCCATGGCCCGTGGTCATCGGCATCCCGGCCGGCGCCGTCTTCATCCTGGGCACCGTGCTCCTGTGGCTTTGCCAGGCCAAGAAGAAGCCATGCACCCCCACTCCTGCCCCTCCCGTGCCTGGGCACCGCCAGCCAGGGACAGCCCGTGACCGCAGTGGAGACAAGGACCTTCCCACGTTGGCCGCCCTCAGCGCTGGCCCTGGTGTGGGGCTGTGTGAGGAGCATGGGTCTCCGGCAGCCCCCCAGCACTTGCTGGGCCCAGGCCCAGTTGCTGGCCCCAAGTTGTACCCCAAAGTCTACACAGACATCCACACACACACACATACACACTCACACACACACTCACACGTGGAGGGCAAGGTCCACCAGCACATCCACTATCAGTGCTAGATGACACTGCCTCTGCGGTGGGCGCATGGGGCCAGCCAGACAGGCAGGCTGGGAGGATGGAGGACAGTGCTGCAGACGAAGGCGGACCCATGGTGAGGAGGAATGGCCAGCACCCCGGGCGCTCTGTGTGAGGCATAGCCCCTGGACACACACACACAGACACACACTGCCTGGATGCATGTATACACACACATGCGCACACACGCTGCCTGAACACAGGCACACGCAGACATGCTCCCGGAACGCATACGCATGCATGCACATGCGCAGGCATGCTGCCTGGACACACAGATATGCTGCTCAAACGCATGCACATGCACACAGACATGCCAGAACATACATGGACATGCTGCCTGAACACATCACACACATGCACAGATATGCTGCCTCAACACACACATGCATACATGTGCAGATATACTGCCTGGACACACACACACGCAGATATGCTGCCTGGACACACGCACACACATGCACAGATATGCTGCCTGGACACATGCACAGATATGCTGCCTGGACACACGCACACGCATGCACAGATATGCTGCCTGGACACACATACACGCACAGAAATGCTGCCTCGACACACACACACGCGCGCAGACAGGCCGCCTGGACACACACAGGCAGTTATGCTGTCCGGACACACGCACACATGCAGATACGCTGTCCGGACACACACGTGTGCAGTTATGCTGCCTGGACACACGCACACACACGCGCAGATATGCTGCCTGGACACGAGCAGATATGCTGTCCGGACACACACGTGTGCAGTTATGCTGCCTGGACACACGCACACACACGCGCAGATATGCTGCCTGGACACGAGCAGATATGCTGTCCGGACACGCACACACGTGCAGATACGCTGCCTGGACGCATGCGGACTGAGGTGCTTTTCAGAGGGTGTGCTGCGAGGCCCGCAGTGCGTGTGCAGTGAGGCTCATAGTTGATGAAGGACTCTCCCTGCTCCACCGTCACTCCCCAACCCCTGCCTGCCTCTGCCCTCGCCTGGCCTTCGCGGCTATTTTTGCCACCTGTCTTGGGTGTCCAGGAGTCCCCTACTGCTGTAGGCTGGGGCTGGGGGCACAGCAGCCCCAAGCCTGAGAGGCTGGAGCCCATGGCACTCCCACTGCATTCTCCCCCTGCCAGCGAGAAGGAGCCTTGGTATTTATATTTAAGAAATGAAGATAATATTAATAATGATGGAGGGAGGGCTGGGTTGCAGGGACTGTGGTCTCTTCTGGGGCCCGGGACCCGCCTGGTCTTTCAGCCACGCTGATGCCTGCACCCCGTCCAGGCCAGGCACCACCCCCCACCCCACTGTCGTGGTGGCCCCAGATCTCTGTAATTTTATGTAGAGTTTGAGCTGAAGCCCCGTATATTTAATTTATTTTGTTAAACATGAAAGTGCATCCTTTCTCTCCAGGCTGGTGTTTCTGCCCGTGTCTGTGTGTGCATGTGCATGCTTGTGTGTGCTCACATCTGTGCTTGTGTATCAGGCCTGGTCTCTAGAACCAGCAGCCCAGCCCTCCTGGAGTCCCCTTGCTGGGCCGGAGCCACAGGGGCCGAGACCTGAGGGTCTCCAGGTCTGTCATCAGCACCTCCCGGCAGTAGAGTTTGGGTCTACTGGGCTTCGGGCGGTGGTGGGTGTGGGCACTACCCATGTAGAGTTTGGGTATGCTGGGCTTCGGGCGGTGGTGGGTGTGAGCACTCACCATGAGTACCCACGTGCCTGGCCAGGCCAGCGTCCTGCACCCCTGTTGGATTCGCACCCTCTGTGTCCTGGGGCTGGCCCCTGTGGCCCTCAGTGCAGGGCCTGGTCACTCCTCGGCCGCCCTGCAGGCTTTGGTGGGTGGCCCTACGGGAAGCAGCAGACCTGCCTCGGACCTGGGGGTGGGGCCAGGCTCAGGTCACCTCTGACCTCAGGGCTCCGTCCAAATGCCCTCCCTGCCACCCTGCAGTGCTGTGACGGTGGCCGCCCCCGTCTTGCCCAGTCAGCAGGAGGGGTTGGGGCTGCCAGCTCCACCCGGGGCCCTTGCCTGCCCGGGGGTTCCATTAGCCTCGTAAGAAAAGGCACCGAGGCCTCTCGTGCATTCAGCAAAGCGTGAGGCCCGTGGTGTTCCCGGACCCTGGCCTTGCTGGCATGCAGGGTACTTCCTGACCCGCGCTGGTTCTGAGAGCTTTTCCCTGGAGGAAGCTCACCCTGCCTGGCTTCAAAGATGACAGGTGGGCTCTGGGGAGAGGTGTCAGGGACCTCTCCCCAGCGGGGGCTTCTGAGGACCCCATGGCCTTCAAGATGTCCCCTTTCTGTCCTCTGTCCTCCCCAGGGTAGACCCTACTCCTCTCCCCTGAGGGAAGTCCTGACTCCGTGGGTGGTGACAGCTTCAGGCGTGGCCCTGGTGAGGGCTGCGTGTGGCTGGTGGGTGCTGTGGGAGGCCTGGCCATCCTGACTGGGGGGCAGTGGGGGCTCCAGGCGGCCCACAGCTGGCAGCCAAACAGATGTTCCCCAGACAGGGCAGGCTGCAGGCCGACGCCTGGTCGGGTTTCAGTCTGGAGTAGGGGAGGGTGGAAGGGAGACCTCAGGCGTCTGGCCACCTTGGACAGCAGGAAGGCCTCAGGCAGCAGGTCATGGGGTCGCAGAGGACAGGCTGCCACTCCCCAGGAAGCGGGCAGAGGGATGGGCAGTCTGAGAGGGCTGTCCCCCAGAGCCTCTGAAGGAGACACTGGGACCGCAGACCCCACGCCTGCACCCTGCCTGCTCTGAGGTCCAGGCCCCACTCAGGGCCACCCTCGACTTGTGGTCCAGCCCATCTCACACCTGCCCACGGGAGGTGCTGACTGGTGCTGTGTGGCCCTTGACGGACAGGACAGGCCTGGCACAGCCCAGCCTCTGGGTTCTGGGCTCTGGACTTTGTCACGCCGTGGCCATGTTGGATGCCAGGCTGGGCAGGGGGGCCCCAAGGAGTTAGGACAGACCCATCTCCTGTCCATGGGGCCCCGGCCACCCCCAGGCAAATGGCCTGGAGCTCAGACCCCTCAGTCTTTCCCTAGCCTTCCTCAGGGGCTGCCTAGAGCCCCTGCTTTCTCCCCTGCGACCTCCAGACCCTTCCCCCTTGGCCGTCCAGTCCCGAGAGCCCTTACATTCATCCCCACGCCCCTCTGTTCCTGCGGTCTCCAGCCTGAGCCTACCGGGGCCCTGCCCTGAGGACGCCTGACTGGTGTTCCTGGCTGTCTCTTGCCTGGCCCTGCCCCATGGACTCCTGTGGCTGTGGCTCCTGCCCCCCTACCAGCCACACAGCCACCCCGATGCCGTTTCCCACATCTCCGTCACGGAAGCACACGTCCATGCTCTGCACCGGCCCCCTCGCATCTGCACCTCCACACTTCCAAGAACAAAATTGCATTCCCCTCCCCGCCGCGTGCAGGAGGACTGGGAGCACAGAGCCCCTGTGTGCTTCAAGGACTTGAGGCAGAGGCTCCCAGGGTGTGAGTGTGGCCAGCAGGACAGAGGGCAGGATGTGGTTCTGACAGTGGTCCACCCTGTCCAAGCACCTGAAAGATGGGGGGCCCTGCACTCCAGGTTCACTGGCCGGGAGGCTCAAAGGGCCGGGTAGGGCCTGTGGGAGGTGGGGGTGCCGTTCTGTGGGCCCCATCTCACCTGTCCTGCACCGGGCACCTGCACACCATGGCACCATGGGGCCTCCAGGCCCAGGAAGAGACAGACACATGTCGGGAGGCTCCTCGGGGGCCAGCAGGCTTCCGGGCAGTGCCCTTGCAGGGGTGGGGCAGGGGCATGGCGTCTGAGGGGTAGGGCGACCCAGGGGGTCCAGGGCGACCCAGGGGGTCCAGGGAGAAGGGAGGAGCCCAGAGTGGCAGCTGTCTCCCCAGGGAGGGGCCACACCTGGGGCTTCCTGGCTCCTCCACCATCACCCTTCACATGGGCAAGACCAGGTCCCGCGCCCTTGGCCACCACAGGAAGGTCATGGGGCAGCCTCTGCTTCAGGGACGGGAACGGGGCTGGGCGCCCGTCCCCAGCTTCATCCTGGGCTCCTGGGGGTGCAGGTTGTGGGGGTGGGGATTGCAGCCCAGGAGGCAGCAGAGGGGACCCAGCTGTGTCCTCAGGGCGGCCCCCAGGCCAGGCCCTTTGGGTAGGAGACGGTGGTGCCTGGGGGAGGCTCAGCATGGTGGGGCGGGGTGTGGGCATGGGTCCAGGCCCACAGTCCTCCCTGGCCCTGCCCCGGTGGTGATAAGCTGCTTCCCTGTAAAGCCCGGCTAACTTGAAAGGGCTGCCCAGGCTCCGACACCCCCGGGTGTGACCCATCCCCGCCTGGCCCTCCTGGCTTCAAAGGGGTGCCCGCAAGCCGCCTGCAGCTGTCCCGGGGGTGCCTGCGCCTGCTGCCAGGGACAGGGTGGCAGCGTGAGGCAGAGATGGGGGGATGTGGGCAGCCCCACCCCATGGGCGTGTGGGTCAGAGGACCTGGCCAGAGATCACAGCCTTGTCCCCGGCCGGGGTTGGGGACCAGGGGACCGGGCTGGGAATGTGGGACGAGGGGCGCAGATAGAGGCACAGGCCAGGAAGAGGGGTGCAGGCTGCGTGCTTGGGGTGCAGGATGAGACTCTGCACAGCAGAGATATGGCCCTAGGACACAAGGCTCCAGGACGCAGGGGCCAGCCGAGCTAGCCCGAGCCTCCCCGGGGTACCGCGTGGGCCCAGGACCTGCTGCGGGGCTGGGGTGGGCCAGGGGCCCCCCAGGATTTGAATATGGGAGCACCTCCTGGAGGCAGAGGCAGGGAGGCCGCAGAGCCAGGTGTGTGGGGCTCTGGGCCCCTCGGGCTGGGCTGTGACATAGGGAGTAACCCCCACCCCCATGGCTGGAGCCGGCTTCTGGTAGAAGCTTCCAGATGTCCCGGGGGGACAAGAGTGCTCAGTGAAGCCACGCTGGGTGAGGCGGGGCAGGAGGGCAGCGGGCGGGGCCTGGTGGTCTCGGGCTCTCTGTGCCCTGTGCTGGCCTCACAGTGTGCCTGGCCCAGGTGGCTGCCCGGGTTGGGTAAGATGGGGAAGGGGCTGTCTAGGGGGCTGGTGGGGCCTGGCGGGTCCTGGGGCTCAGCCACACCAGACCCAGGCCTGCGTTCCAGGGCCCTGGGTTGCCGATTAATTTGAGGCTTGCATTGCTGTGCCCGAGGAGAGAAGCTTGTACCTGAGAAGCACTGTCCCTCCCTGGGGGACCGCACTGGCCACCATTGGCCTCCTCTGCTGGGCCTGTCTCTCCCTTGCCTCCTGCCTTGGGAGGAGCGTGACCAGCGAGGGTGGGCAGGTGGGCCTCCCTGGAAGGCCCCTGCCACTGTGCGGGCAGCTGCGTGCTGGGCCTGAGTGGGTGTGGCCAAGACTGGGGCTCCCTGTGGACTCCTGAAGCAGAGGCGGTCTCGGCCCCACGGGAGGGTTTCCCATTCCCAACTGAGCCCTGGGGCAGGAACCCAGGCGGGTCTAGGGTCTGGGCCCCCATCTGACCTCATGACCCAGGCTGGCCTTGACACACCCGTGACCCAGGCTGGCCTTGACACACTCGGGGGTGGGGGTGCCACTCTGGTTCCTGATCGTGCCCGCCCTACACTGGTCACCTGGAAAGTCTGCTGCTCCCCTGGGGAGCACATGAGGGGGTCCCCAATCTCCCAATGCCAACTGGCAAGCCCGTCCGCCCACAGAGCCCCCCTCGCGCCACACGGGCTGGCCAGGCAGCCTCCTTGTGACCTGTGCCCAGGCTGCAATCGGGCTGTTCCTCCTGGTGAGCCCCTTCCCCAGCCGCCTGGTCGCTGCCTGACCGTATGCGGCTCCTCTGCTGTCCCAACCCCATGAGCAGCTCTGTCCTCAAGCCCAGCTCCACCCGCTAGAGCCCAACCAGGGCAGAGAAGTCCGAATTCAAGTCCCCCAGGGTGCCCCAGCTCTCTTCAAACCTTGCCTAGGCTCCAAGCCCCCCAGACCTGGGTTCCTGGGCTCGTGGGCCTGTGCAGGGGCAGGGGCCGCCCACTCAGGCAGTTTGATTCAGTGACTAGGGAGAAGGGGGGTCGGTGGCCGCAGAGTGGGGCTGGGGTCCCCTGGAGCAGCTGCCATGTTCTGAGGCTTCCTTGTCCCCATGGCAGAGTGCTGGGGAGCCGAGCTTGGCACACAGCACCCAACACAGTGGGGAGAGTGCTCATCCTGGGGTCAAAGGTGACCTCTCCAGCCCCCTCACCCTGAATCTCAGCCTGGGTCACAGCAGGGCCTTTGCCTAGGAGCCGAATCCAGGGGTCCTGCTGGGAGCATGAATCCTGGGCACAGTGGGACTGGGGCACTCGGGGTGGCTCCTGCAGCCTGAGATGGGGACCAGTGGGCGCCTAACGACATTCAGCCCTGCAGGACCCTGTGACAGACGCCAGGTCCCGCCTGT